GGGGGGGCGGATCCGGGGCTTGGCCGAGAGCCGTGCCTCTCCGCCGCCCTCCTCTGGGCCTGCGCCCGCCCCAGGCTGCGCACAGATGGCGGGCCGGGCCTCTTCCCTCCCGCTTTGCTTTGCTGGGACTTTTTCCTGAAGGCCCATTTGGAGACGTTGTCATGGTCAGATGGTGCATCTTCTGGGCCTGATAATCAAAGCACTCCCTCCCTCGCGCGCGCGTGACTCCCAGAGTTTTCTCCTGGGCCCTTCTGGGGAGTTCAGTCCGTGTCCCCAGAGGAGGCCGACTTCAGGGGGAGTGCACTAAACTGGGTCCCAGAAGGAGAAGGTTGTGAAGCTACCTGCTGCGGAGCCCTGGGTGTGGAGGAATTGGAAGGGGGATGGTGGTGAGAAAGGGTGCAGACCGTTTAGTAATTTTTTTAGCAACAGTCCTGTGCTGGCCTTGGTGCTAGGGCTAGTGCTTGGATGGACAAGAGGCAAATACACATAGAATGAGTGCTCTGGAGAAGGTCTCCTAGCTTTACAGCAGGTACAGACATCAGACATAATTGCAACCCAGTGTTACAAACCTAGAGCTGGGGGACTAGCCTGGTGATCTCATTAGGCTCCAGAGTGGAGCTGAAGTTAAACCAGGCAGGGAAGGCTTTTGTCCTCTGAGATTTGGAGGATGGGTCAGGTGGGAGTCCACTGCCCCATGTGTTCCTTGATACTGCACACAAAACCAGGTGCACATCAGGGTAATTGTTTTTGAGAGAAGATCGATAATTTTCATCAGATTCTCAGAAAGGTTGGTTTCTATCCCCCAATATTGACAGTTCTGCTTTAGAAAGAAAATCTGATATTTGAGGGTATTCTCTAACCCCAAAACTTTCCCAGGAATTCTGTAGCTAACCAAAGAGCTACTCGCCTTGCTTGTGTAAGGAACTTTTGTGGAGCTCTCATTGGCCAGCCAGGTGGTGTTCCTGCTGCCATCTGCATTAACCACATGCCCCATTTTTGCTTTTTCCTGCAGGAATTTTATTGTTACTGGCTTACAGGATATTGATAAGTGCAGGCAGCAGCTTCATGACATTACTGTGCCTTTAGAAGTTTTTGAGTAAGTATCATTCTTGATATTCATTTGAGTATAATTCTTGTTTTATTGTGCTATGACGACGCCTTCAACACTGGCATTTAAGTGCCTGCTCTTTGGCAGGCACAGCGTAGGTGCTGGGGATAAGCCAGTGAAGAAAATAGACAAAAACCCCAGCTCTCAGGGAGCTTATGTTTTAATAGGATTAAAAATTAAAAACAAAACAAAACAAAAAAACCCCTCAGTATTGTATTGTTGAGAAAGAGTTACATGTGAATAAAGGGTTATTAAATATGTGAAAAACATCATAAGCTCTCAAAGTCCTGCTTAGACAAAATGGTAGCCATATCACTTTCTTTTTTCTTGAGAGGTAGGAAGTCTTATATGGGCTCTATTATAAATTTAAAAAAAAAAAATCTAGGCAGAAACAACCTGAGAAGTAATTTGGTGTGGTGTCTTCCAAACTGCCCTGGGAGTGCTAATTCTACGAGATGGTAAATATCTGCTCTTTTGGGCAAATCAAAAGGGGGTGGTTCTTAGGCCAAGTAAATTTGGGAAGGCTGGTCACTGCTTTTTGCTGGAGAGTGGTGTGTGCCTTTCACAGTTGTGGCCCAGAGAACGCCTTCAGGAAAGAAACTTTCCAGGTTGGTTTCATTCAGGTTTTATCACACTGATTTCACTGGGTGAAGAACTGGTAAGTAACTGCAACAGGCTGTTTGGCTACTAAGTGTCAGAGTTAAGACTGAAATTCTGGACTTGTCCATCCTTGGCCAGCCGGATTTCTTTGTTTGTTTGTTTGTTTTTGTTTTATTTATTTATTTATTTTAAAAATTTTATTATGTTATGTTAGTCACCATACAGTACATCATTAGTTTTTGATGTGGTGATCCACAATGCACTGTTTTTGTATAACACCCAGTGCTCCATGCAGTACATGCCCTCCTTAATACCCACCACCGGGCTAACCCATCCCCCCACCCCCCTCCCCTCTAAAACCCTGTTTGTTTCTCAGAGTCCATAGTCTCTCATGGTTCATCTCTCCCTCCAAT